GTGCATCTAGACTCTAAATATCTATACATGTTTACATTCTTAATGATTTTATATATTTAATTAGGTATTAAACAAAACAAAAAACATATTAGATTATCGGTTCGATTCGGTTTGAGTTTTGTGTCCACGCCCTAGATTTAGTAATTGCTCCGAACTAATTTATAAGAATAATTAATCTTGAATAACTTCGGTAATGGATTAAAGATGTAGTTACATTGTTTTTTAGATAAGTGTAGAATATTTTTTAGAGCATTGGTAAGTGTATGTGTACTTTTTATAATAGTAAGATATTTGAACATGGATATAACTTCACAAATAATTATGTGGATTGTAAGTAAAACGAGGCTATGCATTGAGTATTTGAGTGCAAGGGCAAATGGCTAAGGCACGCTTTCTTCTTTGTTTCTGCTCAAAATTATTAATGCTTAAGAGAGAGACAATTTCATATTAACACTCTCTTTTTCTGCTCTCTCTGTCTCCTTCATCATAAATAGGTATATTTGATATTTTTTCCCTTTTAATTTATTGTGAAAGCTATTCAGACCATTCACATTGGAGACAAAATATGGATGTTTCTAAATAAAAAAATATTAAAAACACACTATCTCTTCCTTTTATTCAATTTTATACCTTCTCTTTCATCCTTTTACTCAACTTTTATTAATTTTATATTTAAACACACTCTAACTTTCACCCATTCTCTCTCCAACTTTGTCTTCCCCGAGACATCCTCTCTCCAATAATACCCACTATCTCATCTTTTTACTCAAATTTTATTAATTTTATATTTCAATACACCCTATTATTTTAACCAAAAACACTCTCTTTCTTCCTTTTACTCAATTTTTAATAATTTTATATTTAAAAACACATACAAAATGTTTCTAATGCAGATGTTCTCATAAAGCTGAGTATCCATGTACTTATTAGTATTTCAATTCATAAAGTTTAGCTAATAGAGCTTGTTTTGTGTGTGTATACGAAGGAAAAGACTTTTGTTAACAGTAAATAAGAACACACTTTTATGAATTTGTTATTTTTTTTTGGGTCTGAAACTGATTAGACCTGGTCAAACCAAAAGCTCCTTTTTAATCAAATTTGTTGGACCCCAAAGATGTGAATATTGCCTCCTGTGCCACGCCTTTTAGCACTTACCATAAAGACAGAGAACAACATTTGCATCATAATTTAGATTCCCATTGTTTGTCTTTGTCATCAGCCACAATCATTTTCAAATTTCCCTTGTGTCCTCTTATTTACCAGACACTTTTTCAGAGAAAAATTAAGCTACAAGCATTTGAAATTATTAGTATTATTTGTTTTGTTTCTCATAGAAACACATGTTATTTTAATTTAATTTCACATAAAACTTTTTCTTAGTTATTTCAAATTTATATAGCTTGTGAAAATGGCCCATTCCCTCTTAAACATCATCTACAACAAAAGCATGCAAGACCTATATAATATATATTGTTTGGGCCCAAATATTCTCAAAAGTATTAAAACAATAAATGGCCCATACAGTTTCCTTATTGCAAGACAACAACTTCACATGGGCACTCTGTTTTTCCCATTCTTTCTGCATCAAACTGAAATATATAAAAAAGGAGTCTGTCCAGTGAATAGTGAAACATGATGGATTAATTATACTTTGGCCGGAACTTGCAAGCAATCTTGAGCTCCTCCGGGGGTATGTCACCGGCGAATCCAGCGTCAACCCAAGCCGAGTAGCCTCCCCCCATGTTAGCCACATGCTCATATCCCTTA